GGAAGCGTTCCCAAATTTCCACATTCCCAGGCAGATGGCCGGTCGGCGTGGAGATGGACCGGAGTACGTTTTGCTTTTGCATTTCATCAGTAGAATTGGCCAGAGAGCCTGCAGCAGGTGAGAACTGAACTGGATCGGCCCGCTCTGCAGCGGGGATCTGTATCCGAGCCCCAGCTGGTCCCGCGAGGCCGAGGGCCGATCGCTGTCGGCGTAGGGCAGCCCCTCCGCTGGGGGGAGGACTGAGCAGAGAGCCTGCTGGGAAACTCTGTCGAACCTCCGACCAGGTCGACGTGTCCACCGGGCGAGCCCCCCCGTCCCCCGCCCCCCCGCTCACACTCCCGATCTCGGTTTCTGTTTCGGCCTCGCCATCTCGCTTCCACTCCTCTGCCGACCTGGAGCCTGATTGGACGGAGGGCTCGACGGCTCTGACCTCCTCTCCCGCCCAGCCTGGCCACACCGGCGGCGGACGCCGTCCGGCAGCGATGGGCACCGCGAGCCGCAGGGAGGTGAGGTCAGACGCTCCCGGACACGAGCCTGAGCCCAGGAACCCCCCCGCCGTTACCAGACCCTAATCGTCAATCGGTCGATCGATTTATGTGGTGCCTCTGTGTGACACGCGTCCCTCTTCTCTATTTATTTATGAACTCGTGGACACTACGGGGATGCCTTCTGTAAATGCTTTGTAAAGAGAACTGGAAATGATGACATTTGAGGTTAATAAACTTCACTGCTGGCAGCCTGTCTGCACTCCAGTCCCTCTGCTTCGGTTCTGTCCGAGACGGATTTGCTGGGTCCTGCGGTCCGCACCCCTGTGACGGACCTGTACCCGAGTGCAAGTTGGTGTTTCAGTGCAGCTCCGCCAGTGAGCAGGGGACAGGGGTTAAAACTCATTTCCCCACCCCTGTCGCGGCGTGGAGGGACAGAGCACAAGAGATTCCAGTTTCTGACATTGTCAGTGAGGGAGCCTGAAGTGTACACCGATTTATTTCCACAGAAAAGAGAGTCTATAATCTGAATAATTCATCGTGCCTATAACAGTACAGCACTAACACCCCTCACGCACCCCTACCCAAGGCTTGGTGCTGCAGTAACACAAGAGAACAGAGCTGTACAGCACACAAGCATATGCAAGTAGAATAGTACTGTACAGCAGGACCGGCTGTAGCTCATGCCTTCACGAGCCTCTATAAGGTGAACAACTGGAGTACGTCCACCCTGAGAGCAGTCTGCCACCCCTCGCACCCCCACAGTCCACGGCACTGTCCAGTTGTTCCCGACGCGGCGAGGACTGGGGACAGCGCCCGAGACATGAAGATAGAGGAGGAGGTGCCCAGAAGGAGGCTTTTGTTTTTAGTTTTAATTCAGGCTTTCTGGGCTCAGTCCACATATTGAGACAGTGCAGTCGGAGGAGAGAGGTCTAGATGCGATAGGCACTCTATATAGAGCATTTAACAGCAGAGGGAAAATGCAAGACGTTTATAATACCTTTTAAGACGAGACTTGATTTTTTTCACAAGGGCAGTGAGTTTATTGCAAGACGTTACTGGCTAAGTGCAGTATCGGAGAAGAACCTCAGAAGCTCTCTCTCTGCACCGGGCACTCCATGTTTAACCCCATCTCCTCCTCCCGCAAGGCCCCTCCCCCCTGGGCCAGGTCCTCCTGACGACTGGGGGGGGCCAGCTCAGAGGAGGAGTGGTTTCGGTGGGCGTTGTTGCCGTCTGCCAATGGGGAGTCCGCTTCCCTGTCTGTCCCCGCCCCCTTGGCCGGGTCCCGGGAGCGCTGGCCCCGCCCCACGCAGCAGTAAGAGGCCACGCTGAGGATGACCGCGGCAGCGATGACTTCGCCGCCGGCCATGTAGAAGATCAGCTCGTAATTGTTGAAGGCGTCGACCAGCCGGCCTGGAAAACACCAGGGGCAGGGTTAGTCCGTTGGCATTGTGTTGACTCGATCTGTACCAGGACATTAAACCTAAAATGCTGCCCCTTACTTTAGTCTTAAGCCTCTTAAGACCTTTAAGTCTCGAACTCCATTGCAGCTCAGAATCTATCCATCCATTTTCTAATCGCTTCTATCAATTCGGGTCATTGGGCACCCGGAGCCTTTCCCAGCAAGCACTGGGTGCGAGGCAGGGCACACGCTGGGCGGGACGCCAGTCCATCACAGGGCACACGCAGAGACACAAACACACACACCCACGCTTTTCCCAGACCAGTTTTCCCAGAAGCCAGTTAACGTACCAGCATGCCTCTGGACTCTGGACGGTGGGAAGAAACTGGAGCACCCGGAAGTGACCGCGGCGAGAACATACAACTGCCACACGGGACCTGCCTTAACCCGGGGCCTCAACGCCGTGAGGCAGCGATGCTGACCACTGAGCTACAGCACCACTTCAGCCCAGGATCCTGCAGTTTAAACCCCCAAGTCCTCGTCCCACCTCTCTCCTCTCCTCCCCTCCCTCCTTCCCCATTCTAGCGCCCGTCCCCGACGCCCCACCTGCGGAGGGGGGCCCGATGAGCACGGCCACGGCCTCGATGAGCAGCACCAGCCCCAGGGCGCTGGGGAAGGCGGAGGAGCCCACGATGCCCATGAGCACCTCGAACTGCAGGGCGCCCACCATGCCGTAGGAGACGCCGAAGAAGACGCAGAAGACCACCAGGCCCCGGTAGTCCGTGGCCCGGGCGGAGCACACGTCCGTCAGCCCGTTGAACAGCAGCGCCAGGCTGAAGAAGTAGGCGACCCTGGGCCGCACCCAGCGGAGCCCGGCGATGACGCCGCAGGTGGGCCGGGCGAAGATGTCGATGAAGCCGATGATGGACAGCAGGAAGGCCGCCTCCCGGTCAGGCACCCCCTGGTCCTTGGCGTAGTTGACCAGCAGGATGGGGGGCACGAACAGCCCCAGCACGGTCACGAACTTGGCCACGGCGTAGACCACGAAGCCCCGGTTGCGGAAGACGCTGAAGTCCAGCAGCTTCCTCCTGCTCTTCCGGTCGCTCCTCTTCCCGGCCCTCCCGCCCTCCGCCCCGCCCTTGGACGGCAGCATCTCCTTCAGCTCCTGGGGGGCCGCCCCCTCCCGCCCCCCGCCACGGCACCCCAGGGGCCTCATCACGGCCCCGCAGGTGCAGCAGTTCAGCAGCAGCCCCCCCATGATGAGGAAGCCCCCCCGCCAGCCGTAGCGGTCCAGCAGCACCTGCCCCAGCGGGGAGAGCGCCGTCAGGAAGACGGGGCTGCCCGCGGCCGCCAGCCCGTTGGCCAGCGGGCGGCGCTTGTCGAAGTAGCTGCCCAGCATGATGAGGGAGGGCTGGAAGTTCAGGGCCAGGCCCAGACCTGCGGGCGGGGGGAGGAGAGGGTAAGGAGGGCAGGCAAGACGGTAAAGGAGAGCCAGAAGCAGAGAGAAGAGAGACAGGAGTAAGTCGCTGCCTGCCGCGGTTTCTTCCCAGACTGCAACCCACGAGATCACTCCCGACAGGGCCGCTGGACAGCCTGCAGACAGCCTGGACAGACCGACTGAAGGCAGGGCGTCCTGCTTTGGAATCCGGCAGGGCTGGCCGCCTGCGAGAGAGCGAGTGAAGGTCGGGGCGTCCTACCTGTGAGCTGCGTGGCTGACCGCCTGCGAGAGAGCGAGTGCAGGCGGGGCGTCCTACCTGTGAGCTGCGTGGCTGACTGTCTGCGAGAGAGCGACTGAAGGCGGGGCGTCCTACCTGTGAGCTGCGTGGCTGACCGCCTGCGAGAGAGCGAGTGCAGGCGGGGCGTCCTACCTGTGAGCTGCGTGGCTGACCGCCTGCGAGAGAGCGAGTGAAGGCGGGGCGTCCTACCTGTGAGCACCCCGGCGGAGAGGTAGAGCTGGATGATGTTGGTGGTGAAGGAGGCGGCCACCATGCCAGCCGACGCCAGGAGACCCCCGAGCAGCATCACGGGGCGGCAGCCGAACCTGTTGACCAGGATGCTGGAGACGGGGCCTGCGGAGAGGAGGGGCGAGGCGAGAGGGGTCAGTCCGCGTCACGGGGGACGGGGATACGAACGCACCGCGGTCTTTGTGTAACAGCCGGTGTCTGAGGTGCCCGGGGAGCCTGTTCCTTATCAGCGAGTGCTTTCCAGCTGTGCAGGCCTCCTGTGAACAGCAGTGTGCAGCCGGATATCCGGTCCTCACTGGGTCCCAGCCTGGTCAATCTCCCTCCAGCCTCTGGGGTCAACGTCTGCCCTTTCTCTATAACTTTTAACTAGAATCAGGCTGAAAATCGTATGTCTTTCTGGAACGGGCAATACAGGGTCTCCCTAGGAAACTGAGCTGCTCCTAGGGAGCTGTCACTGTGGCCTCTCTTTCGGAGGGACGCCTCGTGATGACGCCCCAAAACCCAGATCCCCAGGTCTCCCTCCTGTCCTACGTCTTATGTTCACTTCTGTTCCTCACTCTCCAGTTCCCTGCCCCCCCGCGGGGCGGAGAGGGGTTACAGCGCAGTTCAGTGAAAAGAGTTCAGCCTGAACACAGGTTGAGGTGGGTACGATAAGGGGGCCGTCTGCAGAGAACGATCAGGAATGAGCAACAGTGCTCTTTCCTGCTGCTCTCAATCGTTCTCGGAGGGCTGCGCTAATCCGAAGACCGACTCTGGTGTCGCCATGAGGGTCGTGTTTACAGGGGAGAGACTCTTGCAGCCAGTACGGTGTGTATTTCGAACCCACGTCCGGCCTGCCACACGGAGGGCTCCGGTATTCCCGAGCGGGCCTCTCCCTGCCGCCAGGCCGCTGTGGAGCGCCACGAGCCTCTCTGCTCACCGGTGCCGTACAGCATGGCCAGCATGATGGAGGAGATCCAGGCCGTGTCGCTGTAGCCCACACCGAAGTCCTTCATCAGCTCCTTGAAGTAGACGCTCACCGCCTTGGGGAAGGCGTAGGAGAAGCCCGTGACGACGAAGCAGCTGAGCAGCACTACCCAGCCCCAGCCGCCATCCGGGGGCCCCGCCGCCGCCGCCGCCCTCCGACCCCTCGCGCCCATCGCCCTGCCCCCGGGGGGAGAGGAAACACCAGTCAGCTTCAGCTGGACCGCCGGACAACCAGCCCCCGGTCGGGCCCGCTGGGCTGAGGCTGCCTGCCGCTGCTTCAGACTGGTCGGCATTTGGAGCCCCACCCCCAAGTGCACACACGGCGAATTAATACAAAACAATCACAACTGTAATACGATTAGCAGGCACATAACATGCTAACAGTAATCTCTGAAAGCCTTTCAACACCAGGAACATGATGTTCCCCCGTTTTCTTGTGTAAGTCAGTGCTGAAAGCTTAAAGGCACAGTAAACATAGTGGTGGGAGGGTGGGACCCTGGCTGTGATCTCCGGGCTGTAGGGGCTCATCCTGGACTGGGACCCTGGCTGTGATCTCCAGGCTGTAGGGGCTCATCCTGGACTGGGACCCTGGCTGTGATCTCCAGGCTGTAGGGGCTCATCCTGGACTGGGACCCTGGCTGTGATCTCCAGGCTGTAGGGGCTCATCCTGGACTGGGACCCTGGCTGTGATCTCCAGGCTGTAGGGGCTCATCCTGGACTGGGACCCTGGCTGTGATCTCTGGGCTGTAGGGGCTCATCCTGGACTGGGACCCTGGCTGGGATTTCCAGAACACTCTGGGGTGGGCACAGGGGATTATTTTGGATGAGAAACTACTCAGGGAGCAAAAGAGGTGTCAAGAGACTGGTCCGTACAGCGTGATTCCTTAATTTTTCACGCCTAGTTAAACCGTTCTTTCCAAATTTTCTTTTTTTTTCTCCCCATCTTAATTAAGATTTGCATCTGAGCAGTTCATTCTGTCCTTCAGCAAGGGCCTCCCTGACTGACCCACTTTGACCAGCTTAAGACCTTCCGAAAATAAAGGCCCTCTTTTCTGGAAATAATCCCTATTTGATCATCTGAGCAGAGAGAGTTGTTAGGGCCGTCAGACGGGGGCCGGGGTGTC